AACCTGCAGTTCTTGAATGTGAGTTACAATAGGTTGTGTGGGCAGATTCCTGTGGGAGGGAAGTTGCAGAGATTTGATTATTCTTCCTACTTCCACAATAGGTGCTTGTGTGGGGCGCCGCTGCCAAGTTGCAAGTGAGGGCTCTGTAATAATACCTTCTTCACTTCCTCAAAAAGTCACATGTGTGGGTGCTTGGATTAGCAAGTTTTAATACAAGTGATAATTAGTAGTAGATATCTAATAATTAACAATTATTATTATTTATAATTTAAAATATATAATTCATTTATTAAAGGAAGCTACTGAGAACTATTTTTTTTTATTAACATTCTGGTATTCAATAATTTAATTAAATTTTAATTAATTTAAAATCAAGTTACATTAAACTTATAAAAAAAATTTCCTTCAACACTTATTTTTTCATTTATAAAAATTAAATTAAAAATTTTATTTAGAGGTCTTATTTTAAAAATATAAAATCTCTTCTGCTTTTGAACCAATAAATTATTGATTTAATAACTGTTTATAAAACAAATACCCAACATCACAAGCAGCTTTTGTGCTAGATGGCTTCTAGTTTCCTCAAAGGTCAAAAGTTGAAATTCTTGGTTGATTGTAACTTGCGAGGGCAATTTTAGTGCATGTTTTGAAAAATAAAAGTATAATTAGGGACTTAACTAAGGGCCTGTTTGGTGTGGTTGGTGGGAGCTTTAGCTTTTTGAGTACTGTTATGAGTGATAAGTTTAAATTTTTATAGGAGAGAAAATAAAGTTTTAGCTTTTAAAAAGATGAAAAAGTAAGTGAAAAGTAAGTAAAAAAAAAGTTTATGAAAAGTTTGGATTTGAAACTTTTGAGCTTTTACTGTTTAAGAGCTTTTTGAAGTTAAAAAAATATTTTAAAATGTAAGTTTTTAAGAGAAAAATTTAAATTCATGAGACATGAATAGTGTGCAAAATCTAAAGCTCCTAGAAGCTGCACCAAACATGCCCTAATTTAGAATCCAAGAAATTAAGACATTCTAGCGTTAGAACATCCAATCACAACCATTCAATAAATGAGTTTCAATTAAGGACACACCTAACCAATGGCTATGATGAATATCTTAATGCCAAAATGTTTTGATTTTCATTTTTTTGTAAATAATTTAATAATAATTTTTTTAATAAAAATAAAAATCTTAAATTAAAAATTTTAAATTTAAGTTTCTGATATATGAATAAAGTAAAATAAAAAATAAAAAATAATTATCTCTCATTGTGCAATAAAAATAAAATAAATAAAAGTATAAAACCAATAGCAATTTGCTCCTTAAGATCGAGTGACTTTACAACACAGGAAAAAGAGAAATTATTCAGAAGACACCCCTCTTAAGCCTTTTTTTTTTTTTAATTTTTATTTATTTTTAATTTAAGGGATGCTGCCAAATATCAGCTATAATCCATTTTATAAGTGAAGAAAGAAGCGAATACATAAAAAAATTCAATCTGCTCATGACACTGCAGGAAATAAGCCTAAGCCCCCATCATGAGGAAGACTCCTTCCATTCTAATCGGTCAAGTGCATCAACAATTGCCTTACGGAACTCACCATTGTGGAGAAGGAAGGAGGAGACATGCCCTCCGGTAACCCATCTTACTTCTGAACCTGGCCATGCCTTTTCAAGCTCCAAAACAGAGTGCTTCGGTATGTAACCATCATCCTATAGTCACATGATTAAAATTGAAGGATAAATGCAAAGATTAAACTTTGGAGATCAATTCTAGCAGACAATTTTGAAGATATGACATGCATAAGAAGATCGTTAGGAGACAGAAACTTCTCAACCTAGATAGCTAAATGTGTGGATTTATTGCAAACTGCTTGATCAATTCAGCTTGATCAAGTCACAAGTCAAATTGGTATTATAGTGAAGGCAAAGATTAAACCATCCTATATAAGAAATCAGGGATATACTAATAAGACATACGAAACTTGTTTCTTGATAAAATTTCATAAAAAAACCTTCTCATCAATATCGTTTAGAGAATCCATATGGTAAAGCAGAAAAATTGTACTTACAGTAGCAGCCACGAATATAACAGCATTGGGATTTTTGGGAACTGGAAAGCGTGTAACATCTGTGAGAGAGAGTACATTTCTCATCCGTTCTCTCACCTCCTCGAGAGTCATTGCAGTTTCCTGTGCTGCAAGATCCTCTCTCAGTGCCTCCCATGCAGTGCCATACTTTAGTATACCCTCACAGAATGCCACAACAGCAGAATGCGGGGAAAGAAAAGGAAGGGTAGCAAGTGGTGTTGGGTGTAGTGATCCAACCATTGCAGCATGCACTCCTCCTAAATTTCAGAAAGGCATCAAACTTTAAAGATGCAAATGTACAGGATTAAGGGTGTTATTAATTTGCTATCAGGGTGAAAATTTTCCTTCTAGTGCAGTCCAGAGATACAGCACTGAATCAGGTTAAGTGAAAAGAAATGAGGTTTAACCCAGCGAAATTACTTGCAAACTTAAAAGTGGAGTAAAAGCAAAAGGATATACTGACCCATGCTTAATCCACAAACACCCATCTTACCAAACCCTGCCTCAGAGTCTAACCAATGTAAAAGACTCCGTGCCTCTTCAATGGTTGCTCTACCTAATAAAAGCAAGTCACTGACACATAGAAGTTTGGCACCACGCTGCAGCACAGGACGTCTTTGACCATAGAAAGGGCTGCATTCACATATAGTTATTAGAAACCTTAAAATGACTTAAATAATAATAAAAAAGAAACTTCATTTCTTTTTTGGTGCATAAATGAGACGTTCCTTTGTAAGTAGTTAAACACACAAAAATGGACTCTAACCTCTCAAGCACCATAGTTGCAATGTTTTCTTTCAATAATGGCCCCCCAAGTCGCAATCTCCTCTCAAATGTATGGTCCCCCGTGCCTGCACACCAATTTGTATCCAAAAAGATTAGTTATAAATAACATCCAAATGAGTTTGAATATATACAACACGAACATCTATAAGCTGATATTCTGACAAGAAAAGTTCAAATGACCAGAAATTTAATCTATAAGTGTCTATCTACAGGTGCTTATGAAACAAGTTTGCATGCAGGAGTGCTATAAAACATAATAAGTTGCTAATCTAACCATCCTAAAATGATATCTAGTCAAGAATGTAATTAGTTATTTATTTTGGGATAGACATCTGGAGCAATTCCCTGAACCATAGCATGTGAGGAGAACGTGCTAAACTTAAGGCTGCCCTAATAAATCAACTCTAAGACAGGCCAGATGATTTTGAGATCCCAGGCAACACCTTTGAAGAAAGAACCCATTTGGATCAGCACAAAGGGCAATTGAAATATATTATTAAACAAAAAGAGTAAAAAACATAGAGCTGTAACCTTTTGCTTTTATTCCAGATTAGGTTAAAGAGAAAACACTCAGGATTCACTCTACCAATGACAGAACAAAAGCACCATCACAAAGTTACAAAAAGCTAATAACTTATTTGTGAAAGCAATGTTATAAATTAAATCATACATTATAGGATACCAAAATACAGATTGCAAGAACTATCAAATGAATTGTCCAATAATTAGGCCTCTGTCTATGATTGAATTCCTTGACAGTAGAAATGTGATCTAGATAGGCATAACTATTCATGGTGCAAACAACCAAATATGTAACAGTAAAATTCAGTAAGTAAGAGCATGCCACAGACATCTCCTTCAAAATCTCAAAAAAGGAAAGAAGTTAACCTCACAGCAAAAACAGAACACCAACACATCTTGAAACTCACATCCCAATTAAACAGGCAGTACAAACTAACAAATCATCCAGAAACTCTCTTGAAACTCTCATTAAGAAAGCAATGAAAGGATATACTATATAAATTATCCAGGGAAAGAAGCAAATATAATCACAAGACTAAGCACTAATTTCATCTCCTAATTGCACAATGCAAACTCAACCTAACCAATTAGAACAAAATCAATGGACAAAACGACGTAAAGGCTTAAAATCTACAATGCCATCAACTCAGTTACACCATAAGAGCAAAATAATCCTCATTATGAACATTGAATAACTGAATCAACCCAAAAATCAGCTCAAGAAACAAAAAGAGCTTGAGATCATTAAGGGCTAAAAGATATACCGTGATACCTGCAAGGTGAACCACGCAAGCCATATTCTGAGGTGAGACGAATTTTGGGGTAAGGAAAGCAACCCTTGCATAGTGACTCTCAGGAGGCAATGCATTAAGCAACTGCTCATCACAAGGGGTCCTGAAAACTCCTTCTCTCAGGCAAGCATTTTTGGACTCCCAAACTGTTTTCCACATTGGCTGGATCAAGTTTGGAGGCCAGATTTGGCCCTCAACATCAGGAAACAGCTGGTTTATCAATCTCTCCAGCAACTCAAGCTTTGAACCACCCCACCCTCTTGAGAAAAATGGAGGGCTTATCTTTGTTCTGTGCATAAATGCACCATACACATGATCTATTACATAATGAAGCATCCCCAGATTAACTGTAACCATTTTGGGATGAACTCCACGCCCTTAAAATCTCCTAAAACAGTGAAAAAGGTTAAATTTTGAAGCAGATTGGATCTATACCCAGAAGGGATTTTCACCAATACTCTCAAAATCAATAAAAAGAAACTAAAAACAACAAACCCAGAATCAAAGTTGGGATTTTTGAGAAATCTTATTAGTTTAAGAAGTCGGAACCATTCAGGTTAGATCTATCAATCATAAATTTCTCAGAAAAATATGAGAAAAACATGTAAAATCAGTAAG